GTGTGAGTGCCTACTGGGAAGGGTTGATTTGGGGGCCATGGTTTGAGGACATGCTCACCTGAGGGGGAAGGTGTGGTGATGAACTTGGCTTGACACTGTGGTGACAGGAGTGTCAGGTTGTCTGCTCACACCTTTGGGGTGGGACAGGAAGCAGGGGTGAGCTATAAACTTCTAGCTCATCCGTGACCCAGGGAGCCACTTCCTCCAACTAGGCCACCAACCCTCCTAACAGCTCTAGAGTGTCACCAGACAGCAGCATTAACTGGGGATGAGGCACTTTTTACATTCAAATCATAGCTCCGTGACATAGTGAAATGTGCCACTATTTAGTGTGTGTGCGTGTGTGCGTGTGTGTGTGTGTGTGTGTGTGTGTGTGTGTGTGTGTGCTATCTCTGAAATCTGATGTTTCTTCCTAGGAAGAGTTTGAAAGACCTAGTTTACATTGTGTGACTTTATGTACTACTTAATTGAACACAATTATGTACACTTTACCGTAAGACTCTCCTTAAAACGGCACATAAATTATTGCTTTCTTCTCTATTAGTGGATCTTTTTTTGTTATTGAGTATGATTCTTTTTTTAAACACATGTGTTCGTATTAGTTTGCACACTTAGGCATGGCACTCTGCTAGCATCCATTGCCTTAGGCCCACTGCATGCCAGGGTCTCCCCAGAACAGAAGGTGTTTTTCTCTCTGCTCTGGCTTGCTTAGAAACTGGAGGTGACAAGCAGCGGGCAGGATGAAGGGGTCAAGGTAGTTTCATTTTGAATTATCATCAGCTCTTATTCAAACTTGCCAATTTCATAAATTTGGAGGCTTTTAGAGCTAAAGGGAATTGGATTTCTTCTATTTTCTCTCACCCTTTCCTTCCCAACACACACACACACACACACACACACGTGTACACACACGCGCACGCATGCATGCACGCACGCACACACGTGTACACACACGCACACACGCATGCACGCACGCATGCATGCGCACACACATGCGCACACACACACATACACACACATACATGTGCACACATGCGCGCGCACACACACGAAAGTGCTCCTCATGAAGGATTACCTTTTAAACATGCTGTTGGAAGGCTCAGTGGTTCTTCCTGCTTCAACAGTACAGAAAGTGTATGCATGTAAGTGCTAGCAAATGAAAGAATGGTCCAAGGACCCCAGAACACTCCTCGGACACCTGTGTTAGGACTTTACACACCTATGCGATCCTTTCCTCCTAGTTACAAATGCATCCATTTCCATAACTAAATACATCATGAAAATAGTTTCATAGATGACATCTAGATAAACAGACGTTGGTCCTCTTTCTGATGCTCAGGTGCCTAACTGTGCCAGCCGGGAACAATAAGTAACATCAACCACAAATTTACACACGGGCACCCCGTTCAGTTATCTCTCTGAAGAAAGTCCTCTTGCCAGCCTTATCTTGGCAGTTGCATAGCTTTTCTTCATCCACGCCAACGGTTTTGCATTCAGACATAAGGGGTTTAAGGAGGCTTGGCCTTTGTAGCCAGCACTGAGCACCCTCAAAGGTGCTGAGACACAAAAAAACAAAACCCAAAACAAAACAAAACAAAAAACCCAAAGCAAAACAAACAAAACGGTTGGGGAGAAGCCCTGGGACACAGGGGTTCTGATTCTGAGCTAGGCTTGCTGGTTTTCAGCACAACTCAGACACAGCAGGAGACAGTGGGCATGGGTGGCTGTGGTATGCTTCCTTAGCGCGTAGGGTGGAGACTTGCTCACGACTTGCAAAGTGTGTCGTTGTATTGCTAATAATAATGTTTATAGGAGTAGGACAAGAAGAGATGGCTACTGAGATGCAGAGGTTTTTCAAGATACATGGTGAAAAAATACCTGATCAACCTGGTCTACCTGGGGACAACCATCCCCCACCCCCACCTCCATCCCCACCCCGACCTGCACCTCTCACACACCACACACTTGAAGAAAATAAAAGCATGCCATCCATAACTTTCCTTAACTCCAAGAAAAGGGAAATTTAATAATTGGAGATTATTGTTCCACGTTATCTTTTTAGATGATTAAAACTTCAAGGCACATAACTAACAATGATTTGAAAGATGAAATGGCAGTGACAGCTCCATCTCAACAACATCAGGGAAGGAGAAGTACCCAGGAATTAATTTAATAAGGTAAGTGTACAGTGTTGGGGTAGAGCTGGAGAGATGGCTCAGCGTTTAAGAGCACTGACTGCTCTTCCAGAGGACCCAGGTTCAGTTCCCAGCACCCACATGGCAGCTCACAACTGTCTGTAACTCCAGTTCCAGGGGATCCGACACCCATGGCAAAACGTCAATGCACATAAAAATAAATACATTTTAAAATCCACCCCCCAAAAAAAAGTGTTAGAGAAAAAGCTTAATGTACTCCTAAAGGTTACAAAAGTAAGCCTTTGAAAATGAAGCAGCACTTCTCACATAACTGATTTTATGGAGAACTTGATCTCTGAAGATTAACTTAGAAACTCACTTCAGTTCCAATAAAACACCAGCAAACATCAGCCTTGAGCTGACCATGGTCACGGAATTATTCGTGGCAGAAAGCTCCCAGCCCCTATCTCACCTGGAAGCTGCCTCAACAAACCCTTTCCAGTGTTGAGATTATAATCCCCTTTCAACAGGAGCCCCCTGTTTTTCTTTTTAACCTTCCAGAGTTGGGATATGTTGGCCTCGGGTCATGAGGAATTGAATCAGACTGTACAGGTGCAATAATAGCCCTGAGCCATAAAGAATGACTTAGCCCCAGCCAGACCATTTTAGGTCTAGCTTCAGAAGTAATAAGCCCAGATGCTGACAACAATCCATTCTGCTTCCAGTCAAAAAACAAAACAAAACAACAACAACAAAAAAGGGCTCTAACTTCCTGGTTGCTACCTGTGTGTGTGTGTGTGTGTGTGTGTGTGTGTGTGTGTGTTCCAGCCCCACTGAATGCACTCAACCTTTATCCCTTGAAAAGGTTGAGGCCACTCACTGTTCCAATAAAGCAGTCTTTGCCTGCTGAGATGGGGGAGGTAATTATTTGAAAGAATTGGGGCATACTAATCACAACAAGATCCCAAGAGTTCATAGTGAATTAAATAGGGGACCCAGAAACGCATAGAGAGAAAACTAAAAAGTCACTATTGGTAGCTACCCTAATTATAACCAATTCAAGCAAGAAATGAAAACTAAAAAGCAAAAATGTGTTAACTACTTAGTAATCACAAGGAGGGAATGGTAACTCTACAGAGGAGACAGGATGCCAGCAACACAGTGATTCCACCAGGGAGCAACAACACTGTGTCTCTGTCTGAGATACCGAGAAGCACCTACACCGCTTTCCTGCATGCCTGTACAAAGCTGTTGCCCGGGTCAAATTCTGATGAAGCATCAAATGAACACCAACAGAGAAATTATTTTAAACACGCACACACACACACACACACACACACACACACACACACACACACAAAACTATTGGGCACAGCATGTATGTCACGGGTGTTCAGTACATAGATGAAAACCAGAAATGACCCATGTGCATATTTCCAGGGCACCAGCAGCCTGCATGCTTAGTTAAAAGTGTAGGACACAGGGAGTCTGGGGTGTGTGCTTCGTTTCAGGAGCAGTGATTAAAGGAGGGTTTGCTAGGCTGTTGGAGTTTTGTCAGATACAGTAGGGAGAGCCAGGGATGGTGGCACATGACTGTAATCCCAGTTCCCCTCAGTTAGACGAAGAAGCAGGAGGGCAGAGGGCTGGAGGAGGCTATCTTGGGCTACACAGTGAGCATCTGGCTGAAATAAAAAAAAAATATGGAGGGTAATATAGAGAACAATTTATGGGGTAGAAGAATGTGCAAAGACCACAGTGGACATTTCTGCCTCCTCCTATACTGTCTTTAACATATAGGGAAACAAGCTGCTCTTTAAAATAGTCTCTTTGGATTTTATAATGCGAAAATTTAAAACTTGACGACTATATTTTACTAAAGATGAAAAGTAGTTACCTACGTCAAAGGGGAAAAATATATAAGTACGTTAAGAGGGAAATGTACATTTAAGGATAATTTCCCAAAAAATGAAAAATTCTTTACTCTCATACAAATGTAAAAATTAACACACCATCCAATTTTTATTGAACTTAATGAAGAAGTTAAAACCTGTATAAGGAACAATGCAACAAACGCCTGTCGATCAGCTGCATAGAAGCCTTTTAGGTACATCGGCAATGGTTATTTTTTCAAGGCTATCATTCATCTGCAGCTTCTAAAGCTGTAAATAGCTCCCGTGGACTTGGCCTCCGTCTGAGAGGCTGTGTTCTCCAGGTAGCGCAGTATTTTCTCCTCTACCTAACAGTTATCACTCATTTCTAGACACTGAGTAAGCAGACAGTCCTCTGTGGGCACACCCCAAATAACTTGGAAATGAAACTTCACCATCAAAAAGGCCCTGTGCAGACTGTGTGTTTGGCCCACTACTAATGGGAAGGATGTGGCTTCATAGGTGACTACTTTTCATAAGTGAATCTGAAACACCATCTGCATGGACCTCTTCTCTATTTTCTCACCTGCCCCAAACTATGGCCTTGGACTAGACACAACTTGCTAGTTACACCACACACACTCGAGAAAGAGGGAGAGACAGAGACACAGACTCAGAGCACAGACACAGGGAGAATGGAGAGCCAGGAGTCGAACCATTTACAAGGTGGTTTCTTTTGGGGGTGAAGGGGGGAGCTAATTGTAGCGCTTAGTTGTCCAGTTTGGGGCTAGATTAAATCTGCTCTGGACTTTGGAAGCCCCAGCAGAGTTTGCAAGCAAGCTCTGTGCGGGCTCCACCCCCCCCCCACCCCTCCGGGAGGCAGAGGGCGTGGACGTCGGCCCTCCCCAGCCCGCGGCCCGCCCAGGTGAATGAAATCTTGTGGGTCCCCGGGCTACACAGTTCCCGATTCTGTCCGGGACGCCAGCGGCTGGGGCTCGGCTGGCTGCGAAGGATGGGGGAGCCGAAGGGATGCACGGGGAGGCAGGCCCGAGGCCTCAGGCTGCAGCTGCTGCTGCTCCTGTCGCTGCTGCTCTTGCAGCCGTCGCCGGGCTTGGCGTCCGGGGCTGCCCGGCCTCCGCACGTGGTCTTCGTGCTGGCAGACGACCTGGGCTGGAACGACGTGGGCTTCCACGGCTCGGTCATCCGCACGCCGCATCTGGATGCGCTGGCGGCCGGCGGGGTGGTCCTGGACAACTACTACGTGCAGCCGCTGTGCACGCCCTCGCGGAGCCAGCTGCTCACTGGGCGCTATCAGGTACGAGGTGGCCTCCCGCCCCGGGCCAACCTGTCCTCTGGTCCCCGAGTGGCTCTGCGAGGCCACGCGCTGGCACCAGGGGCTCAGCGGATCGCGCTGGCAGCCCATGGCTTCCCCAGGCCTCTGCGCATGCCCGGCTTCCTCTTGGTGGCCTAGTGCTGAAGTGGCTTTCGTTTTCTCAAGGTCTGAGGAGTGGAGGTTTCTCTGAATGCGAGGTGCTATGCCTGTGAGCCCCCAGGGTCAAGGGTAGATAGGGTCCTGAGGAGGAAGGATGGAGAAGCAGACAGAGGCCCAGGGGGCTCTAGAGTGGAATCAATGTTCGTGGGAAGCATCCTGATACCCGATGCACTCAATGGTCCTAGGCCAGGAGTGACCCAATGGGATGGAATAGAAAGCCGTGTAGATCGGAGTTTCAGAGATGAACTTGGAAACACTCAAAAGCCTGGGATTGTTGACAAGGGGAGCATGGTCAGAGAAGCCAGCAGGGTATGGGGCACCATGTATGAAGTCGGGGGAGGACCATGTATAAAAGTCTTAACCTTTACCCCCAGCCCCTCTTTTGACTTGGAGCCAGGCTACAGGTGAGATGAGGTACACCCCAGACGCCTCTGTTCCCGTCCATCCTTTACTGAGTCGTCCCCTTGTCTGTAGCTATGCATGTGACAACAATCTGGACACTCCAGAGCCTGCTCTTCAGATCCTCGGCTGTACACGACCAACAATGGAAGTCATGTCTAGGTTCTCCACACCCCTAGAATGATACATGAGTGCTGATGCTCATTTGAGGGTAAAACCAACCTGTGTGAGCTTCTCAACGGTCCTTTAGAAAAGTGTCTGCAACTATTGGATTTACTCACAGACTACATGTATGTAAGTGCAGAAAGAACGTTTCATAGTGTTTTGTTGTCTTTGAACTTAATTTATAAAACACCCCATGTGGTTGTTACCTTGACTCCACTTTGCAGGTGAGATGATAGCTTGCCTGGATGAGATATCAGCTGAGGAGCTACTAAATTGTAATCCTCAGTTTCCTGCATCCACTAGTCATCTCAAACCCGTGAAATTAGCCACACACAGCCCCATTCTGACTGAGGTTGAGCTTATAAGATCCCAATGTGATTATGACCAAATTAAATATAATAATTTGTAGGGGTTACTATTGGATACCGGGATTCTCTCTGTCTCTATTTACCCCTCCATCCATCCATCTCTCTCTCTCCCCCGCCCTTCCCTCTCTCATCTCTACACACACACACACACACACACACACACACACCACCACCACCACCACCACCACACAATCTTCTGGCCTTTCTTCATGCAAAGATTTAGACAACGTGGTGCCAGTGTGGGTATTCAAGTCAGCCAAAGATGTCAGGTAGCAGATATTAGAGGAAAAATGAATTAGCAGTAAATTCAAATATGAGGTAATGAATTTTAAGCACACTGTTTATTCAACAAGCATTTTGAACCCAAACTCCTCCTATGAGTGTGTTCCCAAAATCCTTTCAGAGCAACACTAACCTTGTGTTCTAAGACTGAGATAAAGATTTCTGGTGGTTGGAAGACTGAAGAGAGAAGATAATATTTTTCTAAGAGACTCAGAACCATACCCAGATTTTACCATGGAGCTAAAACATGGTTTGTTTCCCTACTAGCAGTAAGGGCATTCCAGGGAATCTGCCAGGCTGCTTAGTGTAATCAGTATTCACTGGGCCAATTCGAGTGTTTCGAGACAGTAGGAGTCTCCTGGCACACTGTTCCTCAGGAGTAGGGGAAGATACTTCTGCCTTTACTCTGAATACAGAAGAACTGAACTCACATTGCAAAATAATGGAGGGGGCTGTGCACTTATGCAACATTCTAACAGACTTAGACAGGAAAGCAAATACTGCACCTTGAGCCTCACTCAGAATTGATTACCTTTACCCCCTAATGTTCTGCACCCACCAAGCCCTTGGAAATACTTGAGTACTGGGGTAAACCAGTGGTTAATAAGTGAAGGAAAAAGAAAGGCCGAGTCCTCCAGCACCATCAGAGGCTCTCAGGGGAGCTGACTCAAGCATCTTCTGTCTTTTTCCCAACCTTTAGCGTTCATGAGTTCCTGTTAGACATTACTCCCCTATAGTGATATTCTTTTACCGGAGTTCAAGAACAATCGTTGCTTTCAAATTCTACATGTTAGTACATTCTGGACACCTTTCTCATTCCCTTCAAAGCGAATTAAGACAATGACTTTTATCCTTCAATAATTCAAAACTGATGACGCTTCCTTGCTTAGAATCGTCAGAACTATAGGAAAATGTTTTCTGCACCTTCCAAACATTCAACTATAGATTTTCTGACATAGCAACCTTTCTCTATTTCATGGAGTCACAGTGACACGGCAGTGGTGAGAGTTCTGGAACATTCTCCACATATACATCTCCACAGTGCCAGCATTCTTTGAAATTGACTTCTAGTTCTTCTGTCCCGATGTTACGTTTATACTGAAGAACATTGGTTTTACATTTTTAAAAGTCATGTTGCATTAGCATCACTGCTTTATACAAGGGTATGTAAACTGAGGTTGCTTGGGGGAATGATTCAGGTGGCAGAGCACTTGCCTCACAAGCATGAGGGCCTGAGTTCAGATCCCGGAACCCACACAAAAGGTCAGGTTGGTGGCATGTGTCTTTAATCACAGCATTGGCAAAATGGCAGGTGGGGAACAGGTAGATCCCTGGGATCTTTTGGGCCAGCCAGGCTGGTGTATATGGCAGAGTGTCAGACAAATGGGAGACCCTGCTTCAAGACAAAAAAGTAGAAGGTGCCTGAGGGCTGCTACCTTAGGTTGTCCTCTGGCTCCTCGATGGGTGCTCTGCATATACACACCTGCACCCACATTTACACACATACAAACACACACACACACACACACACACACACACACACCACTTACACAGAAGAAATGTGTCCAAGGCAACAGGGCTAAGAAAAGTTGGAACTGCTTTTGAAGCTTGCAGTGTGCTCAGAGTCAATACTCACAGCAACTATAGCGTGTTTCCTCCTTAGAAGTATTAAAAACATCAACATTAGTGCCCCTTCATACTTAAAAGCATCCTGATTAGTTTTTGAACATTTAAGTCACTCCTAAATGTCTCCATCTGGAAAATGAATCTGTCATATTTTTAGTTAAACATTGCCGGTGTTTAGTGTAAAATGGGGATGCATTTTACTTCTGAGAGAATCATTCAGTACAATAAAGTGAAAAAAAATTGTTAACTATTTCAAAATTAGGTACTTGAAAAACCTATTCAAGAGTTCTGCCCTGACCTTTGCAATTGGTAGTGGTTCTAGTTGTCAATTTGACACGATCTCTTGGGAAGTCTCTCAGTGAGAGACTGCCTATGTTAGGTTATGTACGCAATCCTCTTGATCGTGTTGACTCGTGTGCAGCCCACGGTGTTGGCTGCATTCCCTGAGTGTGTGTGTCTTGGATGGATGGGAATGGGGACAGTGGGCTGAGTAGGCATGCATGCTTCTCTCTCTGTTCCCGGTGTGGGTGTGCTATTACTCGTGAGCTTATGTTCCCGCTTTGACTTCCCTGTCTTGATGTACTGTAACTTGCAATCTCAAGCTAAAACAACCCTTTCTCCTCTAATTTGCTTTTTGTCCGGGTGGGTTTTTTTGTTTGTTTGTTTGTTTGTTTGTTTGTTTTATCACAGCAATAGAATTTAAACTAGGACTTCAATCCTACTAATGTTGAGAGGATTAATGTTTAGGGAAACCTTCACATTTGAAAGTCAGATGAGAAGCCAAGACTAACTGAACTTTGCTCTCTTGAGCTTTGGGATTGTGTGTGTGTGTGTGTGTGTGTGTGACAGGAATGGTGAGAGACAGGTTTCAGTCTTGGTTGTGTCAAATTATGACCTTGCTGGACTTGGTTCCTTACAAATAGATACAGGACCTGGGCTAAACTCTGATGCTCTGTCTAGCCTTAAATTTCTTTGACCCTGACACTTTTGTGTTCCTAGGGAAAGTGTACATTATCAGACCCGCCAGCCTTTCATAGAAACAGATGACCCTTGCCTAGCATTACCTTGCACACCACACAAGTTAGTTGTCCTGTGTTAAGAAACAGAAATATGAATTTAGATTTTTATGTTAAGACATTTAATTATTACCAGTTCTTTCACATGAACCTTTTGACCCTCATGTTTTGGTGGAAAATGTGTCATGCCTGAGTGACTTGGGTGAGGTCAATGGGGAGACTGAGTGGTGGGTGAGGAAGGTAGGTAATGGCAAACATAAGAATTAGAATTCAGTTTCTCTACAGCCAGGCTTGTTTTCTCCCTGTGACCTTTATTCATTGTCTTTAAAAATAGGTCTACACATTCTATTTTTAAGTAGAAAAACACATAGGTATAAAAACCCAAATTTTGGGTGAGGGAGGTTCTATTTTCCTCACTGGTGTGCCCCTGTTTCAGTAAAATCTTCCCATCCCACACTCAGGCAAGAAACTAATTAAACTCAGAGGGGTCATACACAAAGAGAAGTCATGAGTGTGGTGGGGGGAGGGGGCTTGCTGAGAAGTCCTCCATGGAGAGGGGGAGGGGGAATGAGATTTGAAAACAGTTAAAATCTGTTATGTAAATATATGATCCTGTCAAATAAATTTGAAACCCTTAAAGCTTCCTAAAAGAGTTCACATTGAAATTTTTCCTCTAACCCAACCCCCACATCTTAGGGATCAGTTCCCATGTTTATAGGGAAGTATACAGAGAGGCGATGAGCTGACAATGAAGTTCCTCATGACTGGGCAAACAAGTGAATATGTAGATATTCCGTTCTTTTTATTTGAGTGGTCACCTTCTCTTCACACCTTTGTACCGTGTTTAGTTTTACTGAACATTTGGCCTCATTCACATTGTTAAATAAATAGCATCATCACAGGTCTGCACGTTATTTTGTTGCATGAAGGCAAAATCAATATCTTGTACACATGTCCTTTTGTTCAT